AATTCAAAATACCAATGGGACAGCCAAATGTTTTAAGAGGCCTGGGGTGGAGATAAGTATTTGGAAATCAATACATGGAAATGAAAAATAATTACAGGTATGAAAAAGGATGAGGTCTTACATGGGAGTAAAATGAGAAGAGAAGTCCGTCTGGGACAAGAAGAGAGGAACAACCTAGGACACAGAATCACGGGGACCAGAATCCAAGAGACGAGACTGTTTTATGGAGGAGGAAGTGTTCCATGTGAAATACTGGTCAGAAGATAAGGACTAAAAAGAATGAATTTGATTTTGGTTCAGGAAATATAGGTTCAGTGGAACAGAGTGGATGGAAATTTTCTTGGTTTGAGTAGGAGATAAGAAAATGCAGACAAAAACCCCCTCCCCCCGCCACAATATTGGCAGTCTATTGAAAGCCATGAGTTATTTATACAGATCTTTCAACTTTACCATAGATGAAAACGTTATTTAGGTATAGAGGTCATAACTTTAATTCTTATGCTCGGCTTGATTTATTCCTGTGGCAGGAAGAACGGCTTGAAGAAATAGCATCTGTGATAAGAATAGTATCTGAAAAGAATGGCCAGGTCAGGTGAAACCTTTGCTATTGTATGACTGCAAGGATTTGTCTTTGTCTCCGTATGTGTTTTGGTTTGCAGCCATTAATAGCTTGGATTCCATGAGGCAGTGGCAAAGGGGAGTGTGTCAGAGCAGCAGGCCAAAATTAAATTACAGCAACCTCGCACTTTGCATTTAAACCTTCACTCAGAGATGGAGGTTGGTAATCACGTCCAGCTTTTCCTTAAAGACAATGGCCCTCCATGCAACTGGCCACACTCAGTTAATTCATGCTGTCAGCTGCCTTTATTGGCTGTGGGGAATGCAGTATTGATTCTTGAACTCAGCAGCAGCACAAAGAGCCACTAGTGCATGGTCAAAATGCTGCAATAAAGGGCTGGCAGCTTGAGAAAAGCAGCCATTCCATTGCACAAACAAGGTCAATTATAGGACAGTGCAGTGTAATATAAATAGCATTAGCATCCCTCTTCAACGCCGATGATATCACGCTGGTAGAATGACAGTAAGGAAAATAAGGTTTAATGCCGAATAATATAAAGGCATTTAGTGTAATTTAATTTCAAGCTCTCTATCATTTCAAAAGTGCTACGAGTAGCAAAATATTTAGTTTCATCATGGGCTGGGATTTGTGTCTATAAAAATGGTTTTCTGATAAAACTTCGTGTGAACTAGCCAATTTGTTATGTATAGTAAAACTGGTATTATTAATTTTACTGATAAATAAAACAATTTTTCATTCACAGATTCAGTGTAATGTGCCTACCTGCCATTTATTATTCTTTTTAGCAATAGACTTTCAAAATCTCTAGAGTGTCATGAAGAAGGAACAAAAGATATCTTCGTGTTTTTAGTTTAAAAGAGAGAGCAAATTGAGTTTTTTTCTTTTTCTAAGTTGCTGGAAATTACTAGGGCCTTTTGTTTCAATACTTGCATTCATTACTTTTGTTTATGGGAGAATTTTTCCTACCTTCTTTGTCAGTTCAAAATTAATTACAAATGTAAGACGCATCATGCTGTTAACACATATTCTATGCGGGAAACAAATTATACTCTCAAAATAGATAATGGACAGCTTGGAGAGGTAATTGATAAACTTACACTGCCTACAATAACTGAATAGATTTTAGAAAAATATATAATTGTTAGAAATAGAAAGAATGTGTTTGAATTATCCTTAGTAATGAGTGTGTCCAAGGTTGACTAGGAGCAACTCATTAAAGTGCATAAAAGAGTTTAAAGAAAGTTTGGATCATGGTGCCTTTGAAATGTTCATTCACCTCTGAGAGTATATGTAGTCTCTTAGGTTAATGGTGTTCAGTAATTTGGTCAAAACCATTTTCTGAAAGATGAATGTTCCAAGTAACCTAATGTATTTCCAACAAACCAGCCATGTTCATTATGAATTGGACCGAAGAGTCCCAAGTTGCTTTCATAGACCTCCTTGAGTAAATGAGTTAACATATCTCATTTTACCCCATACCTCCTCCTCCATCAGCTAAAAGATAGTATTTATTACCCCTTAACAGAGATATCGTGAGGCTAAATACACACATTTCTACAGACATTAGAGTGGAAGGATCACTCAATCTCCAAGACAATAGAATAATACAGAGACTTTCAACCTTATTATCTCATGGAACACATAAACTAATTACTAAAATTTTTAAGCACACCAAAAATATATTTGCCATATATATATATATTATATAGATTACAGCCATAAATATCTATTTCTATCTATCTATCTATCTATCTCTATCTGTATAAAGCAATTTGCAGTTTCCTTTTAACAATATACCATAGACAACTTTTTGCCAGTAGTTATAAGTCTAAAACACATGCTTTCTAATGGATACATAACATTCCATTTTATAGGTATAGCCTCATCTAATTATTTAACCTCCTTTTCTACAACATTTGTTTTTTCCAATTACAATTGATGTGTAATGAATATTCTTATATACATATTTTTATACTTGTTGCAATATTTCTATAGATTACATTTCTTAGAAATGGATTTGCTGGTTAATTGAAATTCTTAAAAAATTTTATATTTTGAAATTATTTTAGATTTCACCTCTTTCACAGATACCTCTAAAATAACATCATAGATTACCATACTAGTATAAATAAACCATGTTTAGTTTTCAAAAATAAAAAACCAATATTGGTACATAATTACTAATACTAATGTATTTTGTTATTGTCCCAGAATCCAATAGAGGATAACAACTGCATTTAGTTATCACTTTCTTGTTTCTTCTGACCTTCTGTTTCTTGGCAGGCATGTTGTAGAAATAATTGATTGATATTTGCACTTAAAATTTAATAGTTATTGCTAAATGACCCCACACTATTTTAATAATCTGGTCACCTTGAGACAGGTACTACTGTTATCATCTTCTTTCTATAGATCAGGAAGTTGGCATGGAAGGATCAAGGTCCTCACCCAAGGTAATCTAGGTTCTGAACAATGAAGATGGAATTTGAACCCAGCTGCTCTGGCTCAAACGCCCCTGCCATTAATCAATATGCTATCATGCCCCTTGGCATAATGCAGCAGCTTATTGGTTTAGAGAATTACCTTGTATTCCTATCCGGTTTGTTGGTGTCTATTTTACTCCAGTGAAGAAACTGGAGCTCATTCTCTACCTTATCTTCCATATAAAATCAATGACCAAGTATCAAGGTCTTTACTTCTTATAGGTTTTCAATCCTCACTCTCTCCTCCAAACCATAGCTCTTATCTGAGATTTTGCCTTTATTATTCTTTGCTTGGGCCAATGTAATATCCTCCAAACTGAAACACTGCATCTAGTTAGCTGGATTACCAGTCATCTCTCAAAGGGCAACTTTGACCATGACATTACTCTGAACAAGTTGCTTAGCAGCTCACTGTCCATCCTCGTTTGAGTTCTAAACTCGTTTATAAGGGTTAGCTAGATTACCAGTCATCTCTCTAAAGGACAACTTTAACCATGACATTACTCTGAACAAGTTGCTTAGCAGCTCGCTGTCCATCCTCGTTTGAGTTCTAAACTCGTTTATAAGCTATAACAGCAAGATTCTCTACACCCTGATACTTGCTTCCTCTGACCTCCCTTGATTTTCACTCTCTGCTCCATGCCTACCTCAGACACTCCACTTTGCTCCAAACTGTTTTTGCTTGGCTTTGTCACTCCCTGTCCAAAACTCTCCTCATACAGCACCTCATTCAAGCAGTTACCTCTCCAGCCTCTGTTCCCAGGAGGCTGGATCTCAGGCCCCTTTTCTGTCACAACACTTGATTTCATATGGTACTGAAGTCAACTGCTTGTTTGTCATCTCTCTGAGCTCCTTGAAAGCATACTCTACTCTCTCTTATTTGTCTTTACTTGCATTGCACCCAGTAGTGCCTGACACTGCATAGGACACTTCTTAAATGTTTGCTAATCTTAATTCTAATGGCAATTTTATAATATCCTAAGTACTATGCCTGCCGCATTGTCACATCAGAAGGGATTTTCTGAGCTCTTGAACTGCTTTAAGCAGACATTCAGTCACGAAGGAATAATTGTACACAAGTCAACTATGGAAATCGTTGCTTTCAAATAGCAAGTAAAGGAACATTTCCTGGATGGATAGATGCTATGTTATTATAGTGTTTGGTACATGTAATTAACAAGCTGCTCTGGTAGACATTCCTTGACTTGCTATTAAATCTGCACTCTGAATCTCTACGTCTGTTAAAGTATAACTGCAGCTGATCTGCATCCCACATCCACAATGTTAAGGGCAGTGTAGAAGCCACTATCCAGTGATGGGTCTTTCTGACATTGGTTTGCGATGGGATTAGGAATTTGGGGGCCTTTAAGGCAGGATGGGAATAAAGGAGAGGTCAGGATGATGGGAAATATATATTAATAGAAAAACAAAAATCATTTATTTAGCATTTTCTATATGCCATGCACTGTATTATTCCATTTAATATTTAGAACAACATTTTCAAGTCATCATTACCATCCTCATTTATGAGGATTCTAACTTGAAGTGTTACATTGTCCAGAAAGAGCAATACATTTAGGAAGCTGGTTTGAGAGCTCAAAGAGTTACCAGGTTAATGGCCACTAATTAATATTCTGTATATTTTTTATTGAGATGACTTGTGTTCATACTATAAACTTATTTAGACCCACATTTCATGACATTTTGAGGGGACTTGATGAATTGTAAGTTTGCTATTCTATGTCTCCCTGGGCCTTAAGAGAGAGCATTTTCATTATTTGTGGTGAAGATAATTTCCTTCTCTTAACTTCCTCTCAAGAATTTTCAACTATTAAAGTGCCTTACTGCAGTCAAGCCTGGACCCAGCATGAAAGAGCACATTCTCTTATTGTTCCTGGCTGTTTCCTCCCCTGTACCACCTTAGTGTGTGGATTTACCTTCATGCTGTTATCACATGATCACAGAGTGGCTGCTTCAGCTCCACCTTCATATCTGCGTGCCAGGCAGTCACAGAAGTGGGAAAATGAAGGGATGGTACTATCAAAAGTAAAGAAAAAAACGAAACATTTTTTAATAATCCACAGAAGCTTTGTGCACATCTCTCATTGACCAGAAGTGTGACTAAGGCCACATATATGATCTAGGTTGGATATTGAGGGTTTAGTTTTCAAGGCACAATACCATCCTAAACAAAATCCAGATTCTCTCCTTAGAGATGAGGAGAATGAATAATGGGGGAACAACTAGCAATATCGACTCCCTGGCCTATGTTTAACAAGTGGATATTAATAAATGAATTGCATAAATATATTCTCAATATCATCTCCGAGGCAGAGCACGATTTCTGATTTCTGCTTTTTGGAGAAAAAGAGTATGGGAAAAAATGGTGCAGTGATGTAGCATGTGGAATAAAACCCACTGCTATTGAAGTTTTAAGAGAAACAAAGTTCACCCCATTGGCAAGAAATTCCCCAGTTGTGTGATTTTCCCAGAGGATCAGATGCTTTCTAAGCTCAGGACCGATCATCCTGCCTTTTATGGGTCTCTGCAGTGTCATTATTATGGTTCATTATACTGTTTGCGACTCTCTTGGCCGACCTTGAAGATGGGTTCAAAAGAGTGTCTTATCCTGCACACACTTCTCTAGCACTGCCTGCGCCACGTCAGCTAGGTTTACCTCCAATCAGCAACTCATTGGGCGAGGCAGGTACTAAAAGTAATCCGGAACCAGGGGAATATGGATACGAATCCCTGGTGTGCCTGCTATGAATGCATCCGCCCATCCCGAAGCCTCTCATCCAGGAGGTGCTTTTGTCCTTATTGCCAGTGAGCATCCCTAAGGTCTAGCAGGCTTTTAATCCCGAGCAAAGTTCTAGTGGAGTGTTTCTTAGAGTTTTTCCACTGGTGTACCCCTGATACATGAAACGAAACCTGGAAAGGGGTGTGTGTGCATGGGGTGAGGTGTGTGAGCAGTGTGTGTGTGTGTGTGTGTGTGTGTGTGTGTGTGTGTGAAGCATGCCACCTGGCATTATTTTTATTCTGGAAATAACATACCTTATTTACCTAGTTGGGAGGGGATGCTTCTACTTCCAATGTATAGATTTCTCTACAAGTTCCAGGGTGGGTATGAGGAACATTCTGAAACCAGTGAAGACGTGTTCTTTTCCTGGGGCTTCTGGGAAAGAGACTCTTGCTTTCTTCCCTGAGATTAAAACAGAGAGGATATCTGTTGGTTGGTTATAAGAATGAAGTCAATCTGGAGGAGAAGATGATGAAATGGGAAGAAGAAAAAAAAATGTCTGGAAGATACATTTTGAGCCTCTGGACAAGCAACACCCAAGTCTAGATCTTTCAGTGGACTTCTCATTTATACCGGTACAAGTGAACACGCTCCTTTTGTGTTTAAGCCACCTGGCACTTCTGCCACTTGGGACAAACAAATAAAAATTCGCACTGACTCACTAACAAAAATTCTACATCTTTAAAATGTAAACCACGTTTAAATTTTCATTTAAATTACTTAACTTTCTGCCTCAACATTTTCAAGTAAACTAAAATTTATTTTCCAGGAGGAGATGTCATATTTATTATATATTCTCATTCCCTTGACACAATTCTGCCTGTGCCAGGTGGTACATCTCCTGCAATTTTAGAAACACAAGCTTAAGGAGCTGTGTATACACGTATAATAGGGAACTTCTGAATACAAAAAGTTTTCTGGACTCAAAGACATGGAATTGTAATAGTAGCATAATAGACTTGGGCACAAGAAGACCCGCTTGGGACTTTACACTCACTCCATCCACAAATAAAGTTCCTTTGTAGAGGAATACATAAATATAAAAATTCCATAAGATCATGACTAGTGAGGTGCACAATATGAATTTCAACAACTTTATTGAAATAGCTCTGTGTAAACAGAGATATCCCACTTTATAAACTATGACACTGAAGGAAGCCAAGTATGATGCTAATGTCTCTGGGGAGTGTGCTTTCTTTCTTTCTTTCTTTCTCCCTCCTTTTTTATTTCTCAAAGTTCTTATTATTTTCCTACACCACAATATCTCTTAGATTATGGACTCCCGAGATCAGCTTTTTTACAAAATTAACTTATTAGGTGGGTATGAGAAATAGTATAGATGCTTGATTCTGTGAAGACCCTGCATTACTATCTATTGCTAAGTGTGTATAGTCTGAGAGAGGTAGGAGATGCTCAAGATATCAAATCTCCTATCAGAGTTCTTTCAAGTAAACTTGTTAAGCAGATGCCAACTCATCACTTACTAGAGAGTAGAATAAGTTTGATTCAAAGGGGTTATTTCAACATCTGCACGAGTCCAGAAATCTGGAAGAAATGAGAAAAATTCAGGCAAGTAGCCTGATGTCTTATTCACCTGTTAGCTAATACTTCAGTAATTATAGGCATATGGATTTTTGTCTTTATGTCTTTATTAATTGAATCATAAGGCTGCAGTAAACTCTAGATATTGTGTAATCTCTTCTCTGGCCAATAGTCTAAACAAACTCAGAGGAAGGGCTTCAATATTTCCACCATTGTCTCCAGATTTTATGTGCATGAGCTTTCTTCACACATGAAACTCTAGAATGCTATACAACAGCCATAAAATATAATAAATAATTCAACATCTCACCTGTAAACCTTCTGAAATAGCCAAAATTTTACAAGAAAGGAGAATATCACTCTTGATCTTCTGCTGTCATTCATCTCACTTAAAGGATGTTGGCTCCAAAATTTGCTGTTTTTCTTTCTTTCTTCTTTTTTTTCCTGCCTTGGTTGAGCCTTACTTGGGTATTTTAAATTTTTTTTTCAAGCAAACTAAAGGAAATTAAGATAACTTTATTACTAAAAGGATAAATAGATAAGAGAGGATATTTAGAATGGTCTATTAATTTTTGAATGATAAGATTTCTTTCTGCATACAATAAGAGCAACTGAAAAAAGGTATTAAAAATTCTGAATTTCTGTTCTTTGTTTTCTCGAATGTCCTAATATGATGATGGTGACTTTAATCCTTAATAGATGATAATTATTTGGGGGCTCCTCAATCTTGGTATCCACTTAAATACTCCTCAGAAATTATTGAATGTGCTTTCCAGAAACTTATATACTAAAATAATTCCAAAATACTAGTGCTTTAAGGATATGCAAACAAAATGGAATATTTATTGTACACTAATGAAAATTCTGGAATAGCAGAATTGGGCTCTAGCAATTAGAGAACATCATTTTTTTAAAAATGGCAGTGCTTTAATTTACAATAGCTAAGATTTGGAAACAGCCTAAGTGCCCATCAGCAGATGAGTGGATTAAAAAACTGTCATACATCTATAAAACTGTGGTACATCTACACAATGGAATACTATGCTGCTATAAAAAAGCAGGGACTCCTACCATTTGCAACAGCATGGATGGACCTGGAGAACATTATGCTAAGCAAAATAAGCCAGTCAGAGAAAGATAAATATCACATGATCTCACTCATTTGTGGAATATAATGAACAACATAAACTGATGAATAAAAATAGATCCAGAGACATAGCAGCATTGAACAGACCGTCAAACCTCAGAGGAAAGGCAGGGGAGTAGGGCAGTAAAGGGAGGTTAGGACTTGTATGCTTGCATATAAGCATAACCCATGGACACAGAGAGTAGGGGGTGAGGGCATGTGCTGGGGGATGGGAACCGCCAGGGAGAGGTCAATGGGGTGAGGGGAGGATACTTTAAACAATAAAGAATTTAAAAAATAAGATTAAAAATTGCAGTGCTTAATTACAGACCTACAAAATTCAATTTGATCATCTTTGCCCCCTTACATTTTCCAGTGAGAAGCAGTGAGGGGGTTGGAAGCCCAGGCTAACCTGTTCTAAAGAACCATAAGACAAAACAGGGAAAGGAGATAACTTATGACAAAGCCTTGCTAGCTTTTCTGAAAAAAAAAAAAAAAAAAAAAAAAAAAAAAAAAAAGAAGACAGATCTGAACACTGACCAACATGATCTTGTGATTATACTGGCTGGTCCCATGCTCACCCCTGTCCCAGCCAACAGTGCAGAAGGCAGCCTGGTAATGCAGGGAGAAAATAAGACCAAAACTTTCAGATACTTTTTGACCTGTTCCTCTCCTTGAAAATATGTTATATCCCAACTGTTATCTTTACTTTTTAACCACACATTTCTCTTCTTTTGTTTTGGGTAAACTACACATTTTCATTTATCATTTGGTTACAGGTCAAAATAGTTCAAAAGGCTTATGAAGAATTTCTTCCACCCACCAGGTTTACTGTTACTCCTCAGAGGTAATCTTTTTTATGTGTCTACTGTCCGAGTTATTGATTGTAGGTCCCTAATCTTAAATAATATTGCTATACTCTTGATTAAAAAAATTTGATTTCTTGATTTTTCAATACTATGCTATCCAAGGATACCAGAATATGCAAGATAAAGACTTAACTCACATAAACTATCTATACAGTAAGTGAGGTTGACAGGTAATTTGCATTTCTCATACTGATATTAAGGTCAACTAAACTCATTAGTGGGTTGGGAAGCATTCCCCCAGTTTTTTATTTTCAGGGAGAGCAAACATAATATAAAAGATGTTCACCTTTAAACTTTGGTGGAATTAATCTATAAAGTTGTCTGTACTTTTTTGCATGAAGAGTTTTAAACATCTATTTCAACTTCTTTTCCAGTTTTCTGATTCTTCCTAAATCAGTTGTACATTATATGTCTAGGACTCTGTTCAAACATTTCATCAAAAATTTCAAATTTACTGGCAAACAAAAGCTCATAATTTTCTCATGCATTAGTATCTTTGCAATTTCTGTTGCATCTAAACTACTTCAACCTTAATTTAGTTTATTTGTTTTCTTATTTTCCCTTGAAACACCGAGCTAAAAGTTTTTTCTACCTTTTTATTACTCTTTTTTAAAACATGTTGTGGTTGATCTTTTCTATTGAATCTTTGTTTTCTTCTATTAATTGATTGATGCATTTAACTTTACATTTTTCTTTTTAATTTATCTTTTATTGTTATACTTTAAAACTTTTAAAATTGTATGCTTATTGGTTTTTATACTTTTCTCTTTTGTAATATGAGAACTTTAAAACTCTAGATTTTTCTGTAGATACTGTTCTTATTATATAAGTTATCTTTCAGCTGTAAAATCTCATTTCAGTTTAATTAATTTTATATATTTCCATCATTATTTCTTCTGAGACCCATGAGTTATTTAATAGTGATTTTTAAAAATCTCTAAATGTATGATGTTTTAAAATTTTTATCTTTTTTATTGACTTAATAGAATTGTGATCAGAATATATGATTAGAATGCTAACAATTCTTTAAATTTTTCAATTTTTGTAAATGTGTCAGGTTTCTTTGAGAAAATGTGAATTTTCTGCTTGTTGAGTGTAGTTAGATCAAGATGGTTAATAATGTCGGCATTTCCCACTACTCCAGGAAAACCAGGGTTATTAGATATCCTACATGAAGGGAAAATAGGTTGAATGGAGGTAGAAGGTGGCTCACAGCAAAAGACCAATCAAGTATTTTTGTTGTTGTTGTTTGTTTTTTAAAGTTTTAGTTTTATTTTTATTGATTTCAGAGAGGAAGGAGAGGGCGAGAAAGACAGAAACATCAATAATGAGAGAGAATCATTGATCAACTGCCTCCTGCACACCCCGCACTGGGGATCGAGCCCACAACCAGGGCATTTGCCCTGATGGGGAATCGAACCGTGACCTTCTGGTTCATAGGCTGATGGTCAACCACTGAGCAACATCGGCTGGGCTGTTGTTGTTATTGTTGTTTTAAATACAGTAAAATAGAGTTTCTAGTATTTTATTTTAAAAAATAAAATAGGCTTCAGGTTGAGTTATTTGCTTTCAGATAAGACTACAAATATGTACAGTACAAATGTAAGTTATAATGCAAGACATAGACTTTAATAATATAACAATAATAGCTTCCTATTGTACACCATATTCTATTATTTTAGGAATTCCTAGAGATTATTTTACTAATTTCTCTTAACAAATAAATGAGGTCAAAATTATTATTCCTTTTACAGATGACACTTACTTAGTATGAATCTAGCAACTTGTACAACTTAACTCAGCTAGTCATGGATAAAGAACTAGAATTGCCTCTGGTCCAACCTCGGGGCCCTGCTCCAAACCATTACCCACTTCTGCCAAGTGCTTGCTAGGCTCTGTGGGTAACACAAAAGAGAGGTGAGATTTGTTCTTACCGTCAGTGACCTTGTAATCTCATTAGGAACACATGTCTCATGTGCTAAGATAATTAGAAAATGGTACCAGTTAGTGAAATAATAAAATTCTAACATGAAATTTATATGGTGCAATGCAGGTCTTAAGAGATTGTCAGAGAGAAGAGGCCATTATTACCTGCAGTTGTTAGAAAGGTGAGTTTCAGGAAAGGTGAGATTTGATATGGAACTATAAATACTGATAGGATCATATAAGTGGAGGAAATACATTTATTTGGACTGTTCAACTGAATAAAGCATTGGTTTATATATTTTATATAACTGTAGCAGGTAGATTGAAAATGTGGCAGGATTTGATTTAGTAGAGAAAAGAGGAGAGGGTCATCTTGGTTAAGGGTGCAATGAATAGTAATAGCGATGGAGTCTGTGGAGGGGAAATAGGAGTGGAGGGGGTGATGAGAGCTGTGGGAGGCACATTTGAATGGGTTAGGTGGTGTTAAGGCTTTGATTTGGACTTGGTCTGATGGAAAATGGAGAACCATTGTGATTTTCTTTTGTTCATAGGGAAATGATACAGACAGTAATCTCCCTCACTTCTGAATTCTAGTGGATTGGAAATAATATCTAGGAGAAAAAAAAACATGTTCTACTATCTCCCATCTCTAATACATTCCATTGTTTCCTAGTCCTCAAAGATTGGAAGATTTCATTTTGCTTTGATTTTAAGCTCTTTTGTTGGCCTTTAAGTCCATGTCCTCTGTTGTCTTTCCTCCTTGAAAGTGGAAAATCAATTGCAATATTTTTCAATATAGTCATAGTTTTATTTTTAATCTGTTCTTAATGGCATTATTGGAAACTATAGTTTTATTTATCATAGTAATAGAAATCTGATCGCTCTTATCACCTGACCTAATTTTTCCTTTTTGAGGAAGGGTTGAATAATACATATACCACATATTACTTTAATGAAAACAACAACAACATGTCAAACTGACTCGGCTTCCTGTGGGTTGATTCAGTTGACTGAATTTTATACATTTCAGGAAACCAGTTATTTTGGTGAGATGCAAATGCAGCCTGAATTTTGGTCTCAGAACTGCTGAGATCAGGAAAGACTTCTGAAAGCTGGGAGGCCTAGTCAAGCATCTGCTTCCAGCTGTTGAACTTATGAGGATCTGGTCCAGATAAAACTATGTGCTACTGTGTTGAGAGTAATTCTGACACACATTAAGATGACAAAATAATAGGTGATTTTATGATTCCTGGTATTAACCAGAGTTAATTACGGGCTTCTGATTGGTCAGCATTGAACAGGCCATGCCAAAGTGAACTGACATAAAAGGCATTTTCCCAACTCCTGACTTCTTTTTTTAAAAAAAATATTATATTGATTTTTACAGAGAGGAAGGGAGAGGGATAGAGAGCCAGAAACATCGATGAGAGAGAAACACTGATCAGCTGCCTCCTGCACACCTCCCACTGGGGATGTGCCCACAACCAAGGTACATGCCCTTGACCGGAATTGAACCTGGGACCCTTCAGTCTGCAGGCCGACGCTCTGTCCACTGAGCCAAACCGGTTATGGCGAACTCCTGACTTCTTAACATCGATGTGAACCTCAGGAACAGAGTCCATATAAAGGCTGGTTTGCATTCAGTAGGAATTGATAAGCACATGTATATTTCAGTTGGTTCTTTTGCCCTGGAGAAATTCTGTCTTCCTAAATGTTGATGAGCTTTTAGAAGTAAACAACAACAAAAATGCAAATTCTCAAATTGGAAAATAGCATGTATAAAAGTGCTATTATCAGGTGTTAAGTAGAGTGATATTAAAATTTATATTTTCTGTCCAGATTCTGCACCCGATGTCATCTGCAGGGGCCAGACTGAAATAAAACAAACTTGAACACCTTCCCACAATGCAATAGCAAAGGAGGGTCACTAACATTTTTTTCTTTAAATGCTGATATTAAGCTTTTCTTGACTCCCACAATGCAATAGCAAAGGAGAGTCACTAACATTTTTTTTCTTTAAATGCTGATATTAAGCTTTTCTTGACATTGAACCTCATATTGCTGGGTATTTTAAGTTGTTTATCTGGAATCTGACACACTTTAACCTACATAATTCTGGTGATAATTGCTGAATTTCCAAATTAAAAGGAAAACTGGCACAATACTAGATAATATCAGAGTTTGTTATTTGTGAAGTGCCAATTTTCTGTAATTAAGGGAAATTGCTAATTATCACTGGAACTGTTCATTAATATTTAATATTAAAGATAAAAATCAATAGGAATGCTTTTTTAGTGGCTGAAATTTTTGAAAGACACCTGCTGTCATCCCTTTGATGAATCCAACTCTTTGCATCTTAACAAACAACGGGGCAGTTGTGAGGAAAGTGGAAGTAGCAGAAGCTGTGATGGAAAGTTTAAAATGAAAGACTTAATACATCACTGAACTAGTACTTCCAGCGTTCAAGTGCAAATTGGGAGATTCCCATAGTTAATCACTTAATACCAGTGCCTTTTATGTAAGGTCAAAGTGGCCCTGGTTCGCTAAATAAATGGCAGAGTCCTCTGCATTTATTTAGTGTCATGAAAAGAGGCATTTATTTATGTGCTTTGTCTACAGCAATACTAATTATCACTATTATATCCCATAATTTTAGGAATATGATAAGATATGAGCAACAACATTTAAAATGAGCTAGCATTTTCAAAGTTTAGAGAATGCTTATCACAGGCTGCTTTTAAGTCTTATTTCTAAGCATGGTCTTTGACCCAGAATAAAAGTAAGAACAAATGTAAGTGATGTTTGAAAGCCCTGAAATCTAATAATTTTCTTTCCTTTTCAATAAAGAGTTTAAAATATGTGCTCATTAACATAGGAAAATGTCAGAAAAATTATAAACATATTTTTGCTAATGGGTGTAAAACAAAGTCATTATGAGATAGTGAATTATTCATTTATTCAAAAAAATATTTTCCTGAGCCTTTACCCTGAGAAAGATATTTGGACAATTGTAGGAGACTACTGGGTTGTTGGCCTAGAGATGCTTTGGAAGGAAAGGAAACAAAGTTAGAAAAGAAAGCTGGTGATTCAGAGTCAGGATGAAGCTGAGATGAACTTGTCTACAGGGGATTGACGAAGAAGACTGAGTGATTAAAGCAATGCCCATGGACGCAGGGTCAGGAAGAAGCTGAAATAGTCAGGGAACCAGGAAGGATAATTAACTGAGAAAGTGGAAAAGATGTTCTTGGCTGAATCAAGCCATGGACATCATTCAATTCAATTTAGTACAGAATTGATTGAGTTCTTACTAGGTGTTGAATACAGTCCCCCCATAATTTTGAAAACTTAAGAAAGAAAAATTAGTGAATGCACATGATTTTACCGGTGATGTCAAATATTCTCTCTTCTTTATATTGGATAATGGTACTGATGATTAAAAGTCATAGCTAGTGGACATTAGTGTTTGCAATTTAGGTCTTCAAGAGCATGAGGAGATGTTGTAGTGAGAAGGGATCTTAGATATAATGCAATCTAACCTGTTACCTCATGATGAAATCCCAAAGGCATTTACTTTAGGGGACACAATCCTTAAAAGGATCCCATTGGATTATTGAAGGAAAGGCGGTTGGCAGTGACTCTGTCATTCTAGCCTGGAAGCTGCTGTCTGGAGAAACAGCCCTCAGGACCTTCCTTATCTGATAGAGTTTCCAGCACCGTTGTCCTAGCTGGATCAAGGATCAAGTTCTAGTTCGACAATATCTTTTCTAATACCTGACACTCAGAAATTAATGAAATTTGCAGGTGTGTCTGATCAGAAAGAGTCCAGTGAATGTTGCTTAGCTTATTTCACTTGAACTCAAACTTTTCAGGACTTATGAGGATGTCTAGCTCAAAAAAAAACCCCATACGGGTCACTCTATTAGTCAAACAGAGTTCTTAGCTTAAGCAGCAGAAACGTATTGTGGCTGATGTATGAAAAAAATTATTAAAAAGATATTGGGTAGCTTACAAAATCTCCATCAGGGCCAGAGAACTAGGCTCAGAGGGTTTTAAAAATATATATTTTATTGATTTCAGAGAGAAGGAGAAGGAGAGAGAGAGATAGAAACATCAATGAGGAGAGAGAATCATTGATTGGCAGCCTCCTGCACGCCCCACCCTGGGGACCTAGCTCACTGCATGTGGCCTGACTGGGAATTGGACCCTGACCTCCTGGTTCATAGGTTGCTGCTTAACCACTGAGCGACACTGGCCGGGTGAGGCTCAGAGTTTATGCACTCAGGAATGGAGCCTGAAGTCATGTTTCAGGGTGGTGCCTAGTAGAGAGACCACTGCCCCTGGCACTGGGCCCTAGAGCTTTACCTGGCACACCACAGACCTTGAAGCCTGGAGCTGCCCCTAGAATCACAGCCACCACTGCCTGGATGCTGCAGAATGGCTGGCTAATGCTTCCTATTGAAGCTCTAGGTGTGGCCCGGACTCGTGTACCTGGCATGGTTGCGAGAATGGCCCACTGTGCTATGTAAGGGGCGGCTTCTCTAAACCTACGCAGAAGGTTCCGAAGCTGAGCAGCCAAGTCTAACAACATGGCCTTCTGGGCCCCCTGACCAAGACTCCCTCCAAATCTTTTCTAAGGTATCTTGTGGTAGGTAAGGAATTCAATGTTTTCATTTCTAAGTAATACTTTTTCTTGCAAGGTTACATCCAGACTGCCTGCAGAAGTATGAATATCAGGAACGCCGTTTTTTAAAATAAATAGGTGATCATGACCACACAGTATTTAAGACCGACTAGGGTTCGCCTTCTTGGGTAACCAGCGGGCATCTTTGTTTCGAGTGCTCAGACACCCCTGGCATTCGCCAAGGAGAATGTGGAAGTGTCGTGGGTTGCACAGCATTACACTGCAGGACTTCATTTGAGAGATGAGAGTCAGGAACGTCTCCTCACCACCCCCCGGCCCTGCATGCTTAGACCCACGGAACAAAATAGATTGGTAGGCAATGTGGGAGACGCTGAATCACGCAGCTTCTTCCCAGCACCATCACAGGTCGGTAACGCTGGCCCTAGATAATAATCATAATACGGAATTCACTGCATCCCGGGGGCCTTCCATGCACTCACTTATGCAGTCTTCACAGCAGCCCAAGGAGGAAAGACTGCTTTCATCCTGTTTTGCATATGA